ATGATTTGCCATTGGTTCAGTATTACCTAGGCGACTATACTTGTAATCTTACCGATTGATTCCCACCTTAAGTCCAGCTTACCTCGTGGCTTTGCTCAATAAAACACCCTTGAGAAGCGGGGTTGGCAGGTAACCCACTTTCAGGGCCCCCTTCCATCCCTCTCAGACAGAAGCTTTCTTTCTTTCAATAAATTCTTCCTACTCTCAACAAAACAAAACAAAAACCAAAAAAACACCTTGCCTTGAAAGACTCAGCCAGAGTGGGCTCCTCCTCACTGCCCACAAGTGACTGCAGTTCTACCTGCAAAGGAAGACCTTTCTGGGCTTGGCATCAGGTTGAGGGTTGGGCTCAGTTCTGTTCATGTACATTTATTATGTCGCTAAGGCTGAAAAGGTAGTAGCTATAGGGAAGCTGTTTTTGTGGTAGGTCACCTGAGCACAGGAATCACTCCAAACCCAAGCACATTTAAAGCCCCCTTAACATTACAAACCATTGGCCAAAGCAAAGTTGGTGTCCTGAGGAAATGCAGACTGCCCCTAGTGGGTGGGAAGTTAATGACTGAATATATACTGAGCAATACCACAGCACATCAGTCTTGAGGTAGGAAAGAAGGAAAGGGAGAGCAGAGGGTCAGACCGCTGGTGATGGAGGACACTGCAGCAGAAAGGCATTTAATATCACAGAAGGACTGCTTCTACCAGGAATGTTCTCTGGTTGCCTTATAATGCCACAAAGAAATAATCACATCCAATACCCGTTATCTAATAGAGATATGTGACAGTTAAGCTTGTCAGTTCAATTGGTTTGGATGCTGCCTGCAGGATTAGTAAAGCACACTTCTTGGTGCGTCTGGAAAGGTCTTGAAGGTGTGACCTTGGTTTCCTATCCTATCCCTGTCCTCCAGTAGGACAGGGTTCTTCCCCTGTCCTTTGCTTCCAAGCCACCATAAACCATGAACTAAGAATCTTTGCTCTACCTTACCCTTCTGCCATGACCTTCTGCCCTGATGTTCCTGCCTTGGAGCTAGTCGGCCGTGGACTAAATCTCCCAAAACTGTGAACTGAATTTAAACTCTTCCTCCTTTAAATTGTAGGTGTCAGGTACTGTGTCTCAGTGACAGGAAATCTCATTTATGCAAATGCATGAAAATTAGGTTCTATTTTCATAGACTAAATCACTCCATTCACAAACATGGCTTTAAAGAAAATAGGCAAAGTTAGAATTTCTAGCTCTGAGCTTTCTTAAATTCCAAAATCTTGTATCTAATGGCCTAATATCCCCAGTGATACACACCTTAAAATAATACATGCAAAACCACTCTCAGTTTTCCCCTAAATCTATTATTCCCATTTCTTCCCCACCTCAGAAAACACAACTCTCTCCTTACAGTTCTTTGGTCCAAAAACCTTAACAGTAGCAAACAAGTCAAGGGTTTCCTGAAAAATGTGACAATCAGCCCAGCGAGGGAGTGTTGAATATGGTTGAGAAAACTCCTTTGCTAATGGAGACTTCTTTGAAAATAGAAGAGAAGAGATGGAGAAAAGGAATGCGTGGAGCAAAATTCAATCTTGCACATGATGAAGGCAAGCTTAAAGAGAAAAAACAAACTAGGTGTCCCTCAGATCCCTCTGGTCTATGACAGCCTTTGATGCTCTGATCTCACACATTTACTTGTAAAGCAGATGCTGAGTTTGAATACAATTTATGCCAACACCTTCTAGAGGCTACTTCTTGACTCCTTCCTAGAACAGGTCCCTGTTTGTGAAGAGAGCTGGAAACATGCTTCTTTCTCATTTGGGGAGTGAAAGTAATAGACCTTCCACTTTAGAGAATTAAATTCCATGTTACAGAAACAAATATGCATTCAATAACCAGATATAATTCACTGCATACATCTGACAGTTTGCCCCAACTTTCATTATATAAGGGTCATGTGACCTAGATGTTGATGTCTGTCCTGTTCCTAGGCACTGGCATAAATGAGGATATTTTTATAAAGGGCCCAGTTAGTGAAAGCTTCTAATATCATGGTAGATGTATGCTTCTAGTTAAACCAGGACACTGTTCTGATATATTTATAGAAGACAGACCAGGGGAGCTGAGGTTTTTAAAACTATGAATATTTTTTAGTGTTTTCCAATTTATAGAACACATTTTCACACATACTGCTTTATTTCATCCAATTAACAAGCCTGTAAGCTGTTTTTTTTTTTTTTTTTGTCTTCTTTTGTTTTAATAATCAAGTTCCACAGAGACTAACTAGTTTGTTCAAACTCCAAGTCACAAAATGAGAACGCAGCAGAACTGAGAGGAGAGTCCAGGTTGGATGACTCTCAACATTTCCCCATTAGTGGGGGTGGACTCCTGGACAGAAGTCTGGGCAGCTTTCCTTGAAGGAGTCCTGAAATTGTTCCCTTTACTCAGGTGTAAAGTCAGGCAAAATAATAAATGGCACTTATGTGCATCTCTGGGCTTCCCCTTTTTCAGGAATTATAAAGAACAGAGGGGAGAGAAACGCTCGGCTTAGAGGGCGCTCAGTGGGCAGCAGGTTCTCTCAGCTGCACCACCAGGCAGCACCAGGCAAAGGGCCTAAGCAAGGGAGCTGAGAACATGCCACCCCAAAATAATTGGAGGTAAAGAAACTTGAGAAAACCACAGGGGGACAAAGGTCACTCTGACCTCTCTGACCTCTTTTCCGTTTCTTCAAAGCAGGAAGTGAATATGTTGTGTAAAAGATGCCTCTTGTCTCACTCACTTTCTCATTGCTGAGACAAAATACCCCATACCCACAACTTAAAAGAGACTCCTGTCTTTTGAGGTTTTGGTCCATGGTTGGGCGGCTGCAAGGCAGAAACAGCATGGTGGGAGGGACTGCTGTGGAGGAAAGCTGCTCATACATGGCAGCTGGGAGGCAGAGAAAGCGAAGGAAGAAGCCAGGGAGGGAGATGCTCCTTCCCCCAGTGACCCCCGTCTTCTGGCCAGGCCCACCTTCCAGCAGCACACACAGCTGCTGAACTCAGCAGGAGATGATCCCATTGATGACTGCAAGGCCTCCATGATCAGTCACCTTCCGCAAGCCCTGTCCGTGGCTGTGTCACTCTTCATCCCCACCCTATTTTATTCTTCAATTAGTACATGTAGTAAGTAATATATTAATTTGCCAAATGCATTTTTGTTTTCTTTGTAGAACATAAGTTCATGAGGTCCAGGGCCTTGTTTTGATCACTGCCCTGCACCCATCACTTTGGAGAGTTCTTGGTGTATAGTCGTCGTGTCTTTGAAATAAATCAATGCGTTTGCTGGAGACATCGACGCTAAGAGTTGCTACATTTGGAGGTACAGAGAAGGATGTGAGAATTTGGCAAAATTCTGTCTGCTTTGTTGTGCTGCCTTCAGCCCCATTCTCTAGCCCTAGATCCACAAGGCCAATGTCAGGCACACATTCCCTCTCCTGCCACTATATCTGGGACAAGATACTGAAAGATACACTTGGAGAAAAATCCAGGGGCTCTAGAGAAGGGGATTTAGGTGTTGATATGTGGGGTCCCCTCTCAAAAATCTAACTTGCTCCTTAATCATTGCATATTTTTTTTTATTTTAAAGAGTAAAAGGATAACATAGTAATAAGGGAGCATACTGAATTACAAAGTGGTAGGAAATTATCAATGGTTGTTGTTCTATATATTGTTATCTACAAGATAGTTTCTCAGGAAAACAAATAGACAAAT